CCCCAAAACCCCAAAACCCCAAAACCCCAAAACCCCAATTTTTTAAATCATAATTGAATTTTTAGCAAAACTAACTATGCCTAAAAAGGATTTAGCCAAGCTTTATCAGAAGAAGACCCCGATCGAGCATATTCTAGATAGACCGGACACCTACATCGGAAGTACTGAGTTCAGTGACGAGAAGCCCCTCTGGGTCTGGGATGAAGATTCTCAAGGAATTGTTAAGAAGCCTACCAAGTATGTTCCCGGTCTTTACAAAATCTTCGATGAGATTTTAGTCAATGCTGTTGATAACTTCCATAAGAGCAAGGAGGAAGGAATCAACATGACTTCTATCAAGGTGACCATTGATAAGGAACTGAATAAAATCTCTGTATGTAATAATGGAGAAACTATCCCTGTTGAGATCCACCCAGAGTACAAAATTTATTGCGCGGAAATGATCTTCGGCCAATTATTAACATCCTCCAACTACGACGATGAGAAAGAAAAAGTTACTGGAGGAAGAAATGGATATGGAGCCAAACTGACAAACATTTACTCGACTAAATTTGTAGTGGAGACAGGGGATATCAAGAATAGTCTGTCCTTCAAGCAGACTTTTTCTAAGAACATGTCAAACAAAGGGGATCCGATCATCAAGGAATATAAAGGAAAAGATAACTATACTAAAATCACTTTCATTCCTGACCTCAGGAGGTTTGGAATGGATGGATTTGACGACGACATCATGGCTATTTTCACTAAAAGAGTCTATGACATAGCAGGGATTACTCCTGCCTCAGTAAGAGTCTACCTCAATGATAAAAGAGTTGAAGTCAAGAACTTTAAAAGTTATGTTGATCTCTATTTCAAGAACAAAGAAATCGTCGAGGAAGAACTCAATGTTTTCTACGAAAAAGATAAGAAGGGAAGGTGGGAATTCAGTGCATGATTATCTGAAGGAGACTTTCAACAAGTATCCTTTGTAAATTCAATTTGAACCACTCTTGGAGGAACCCATGTTGATTACCTTGCAGACCAAATTACTTCTCACGTGCAAACGATTTTAAAATAAGAAGCATAAGAAAGATATCAAACCAAATCAGATAAAGGCAAACCTATGGTTATTTGTGAACTCCCAGATAGTTAACCCAGCTTTTGATTCTCAGACGAAGGATACTTTGACTACGAAGCCATCCAAGTTCGGTAGCACCTTTATCCTTCCTCCAAAGTTCCTCCAGCAGATGGCGGAAACAGGCCTCACAGAGCTCGTACTAAAAGTTGCTGGTGCTAAAGAAGAAGCCAAACTCAAAAGACTTGGGGGTAAAAGGAAAAAGAGAGTCACCGGTATTGATAAGCTCGATGATGCAAACATGGCTGGAAGAAAAGATGCTGATAAATGCACTCTCATCATTACCGAGGGAGACTCAGCAAAGACCTTTGCTGATGCAGGCATTGCTGAAATAGGAAGAGACTACTTTGGCACCTTCCCGCTTCGAGGAAAGTTCCTTAATGTTCGAGATGCACCTATAAAGAAGATCACATCTAATAAAGAAATTCAGCATTTATTAGAAATCCTTGGACTCAAAATTGGAACCAAATACACTGATAAAAAGAACTTGAGATATGGAAACTTAATGGTGATGGCTGATCAAGATCATGATGGATCTCATATCAAGGGGCTTGTCATTAACTTTATCCATAAGTTCTGGCCCAGCTTGATCAAGATGAACACATACCTGAAGGAATTCGCTACTCCAATCATTAAAGCAAGGAAAGGAGATCGTCAAGTTGAGACTTTCTTTACACAACAAGAATATGACCAATGGAAAAGGGGACAAGGAAGAAATCTGAAAAAGTGGACTATCAAGTACTATAAAGGGCTGGGAACGTCAGATAACGAAGAAGCTAAAGAGTACTTTAGCAGGCTTGAGGATCACACACTCAATTTTAGATACACAGGACCTGATGATGATAAGCAAATTGAGCTTGCTTTCTCAGACAAACTTGCAGATGCTCGTAAAGAATGGCTAAATACTTATGACGAAAATGAGTTTGTTGATCACTCAAACACCCATGTCACTTACAGAGACTTTGTGAATAAAGAATTAATTGGATTCTCCAGATACAACTGTACAAGAGCTATTCCTTCAGTCTGTGATGGATATAAGCCTGGACAAAGAAAGATTATGTTCTCATGCTTCAAAAGAAACTTAGTCCAAGAAATGAAAGTTGCTCAGCTGATTGGATATGTCGGTGAAAAATCAGCCTATCATCATGGAGAGCAGTCTCTTGCAACCACCATAGTTGGTCTAGCCCAAAATTTTGTGGGAAGTAACAATATTAGTGTCCTTGAGCCAAGAGGACAATTCGGATCTCGAGCAATGGGTGGTAAAGATGCTGCCTCAGCAAGGTATATCCATACAAAACTTGCTCCTATAACTGATAAGATTTTCCATCCTCATGATAAGTTCTTACTAAAATATCTTACTGAAGATGGTCATAGTATAGAACCCCAGTATTATGTCCCAGTTATCCCAATGGTGCTTGTAAATGGCTCTGAAGGTATAGGAACTGGGTGGAGTACTAATATCCCATGCTACAATCCATTTGAGATCATCCAAGCGCTCAAAGATCGAATGGATGGCAAAGAGTTTCACAGAATGGATCCATGGTACAAGCATTACAAAGGTGATATTTACTATGATAACAACACCTTTAAATGTGACGGAAAGTTTGCTCATAACCCTGCTGAAGGAATTCTAAAAATCACAGAGCTTCCTATCAAGAAGTGGACCAGGGACTATAAGAAGTTCCTTGAAGAGATGCTGGACAATAACAAGATTTCTGATCTCAGAGAGTATCATGGAACTAATCAAGTAGAATTTGAGATCTACTATGATGAAGGAAGCAACGGATTTGACTCAAAATTGTTTAAAGACACTGAATCTATCATGAAGTACTTCAAGCTCACTACTACAATTTCAGACAAGAACTTTGTCCTGTTCAACAGCGAAAACAAGCTAAAGCTCTACGCTGATGAGACTGAGATCCTGGATGAGTTCTATGATGTCAGACTCAAACTCTATGAGACCAGGAAAGATTACATGATCAGAAAACTTGAGTGCGATCTTGAAATTCTTGAAAACAAAGAAAGATTCATTGGTGAAGTTGTTGATGAGACCATTATAGTCAACAAAAAGAAGAAGAAAGAATTGTTAAGCATCCTAAGTGAAAGAGGTTACTCTAGACACTCTCATATCATTGCTAAGATTCCTGAAGATAATGCCATGAAGGGCGACGTGGATTTATCAGAAAGTGACAATGATGAGGACAGGAATCTCGAAGATGAAGAAGAAAAGCTCCTTGCTACAGATTACAACTACCTTCTGAACCAATCCATCTGGAGTCTAACTGAAGAAAGAATCGAGGCTCTCAGGCAAGAGAGACTGAAGAAGGAAGAAGAGATCGAGAAGCTTAAAGAGCTAGAAATCAAAGACATCTGGAGATCTGACCTCGATGAGATCCTTAAAGAACTCAGAAAGATAGATTCGAAAGAAATCAAAGATATGGAGAAGGCTAACAATAAAATGGAGAAACTCAAGAAGAAGGGTAAGCCTAAGAAGAAGGGAAAGAAGAGAAAAATCAGCACTGATAGCAATATCTCCAGCTTCATTGAAAAGCCTAAGGTTGAGAAGAAGCCACCTCCCAAGAAAGACCGCATAGGTGGTAAAATCAAAGATGCTAAAGCTCTTAAGGCTAAAAAGGACTTAAACAAGCATCTTAGTGGCGCGAAGAGTAAGAAAACTAGCGAAAAATCAGTCACAGACCAGGATTCCAACCAGCTATCAGCCCAGGATATCGAAGAGCTACCTCTAATCGAGAGAATGAAACTTAAGATGAAGATGAAGGATATTGAAGAAAGAGAAGAGAAAAAGGATATCAAAGAGTCTGAAAGTGAAAGCGTCTCCAAAGTACATGAGAAAATGGCTGAAGAAAGAAAGGAATTCAAGAAGAGAAGAATGAAGAGAGTAATCGACTCTGATGACTCTGATGTAGAAGAGGTAATATCTCCTCAGAAGGTGACTCAAAAGAGAGCAGCTGCCTCCAGAGCCAAGATCAACTACCAAGAGTCAATTGGCTCTTCTTCTGAGTCATCTTTTACTATTGATTAACTTCAGTCAACATTTATTAACTATTAGGGGTTTTGGGGTTTTGGGGTTTTGGGGTTTTGGGG